AATTTAATTAATTAATTATGTATTTTATTAATAAATATATAAATGTCACAGATCTATGCAATTTGATCACAATTCAAAAAATTTATAGGTCACAATTCGTTCATCGATCATAAATTAAAAATTTAAAAGTCACAATTTATTCATTGGTTACAAATCACAAAATTTATAAGTCACACAACTTATTTTATAATCATAAAATATCAAATTATAGGTCACATATTATTTTTATTGGTCACAACTCGATTATAACTTAATAAAATGTAAGTCACAATCACAATATTTAGGTCACACATTATTAATTTGTCAAAAATTAACCAATTATTGGTCGCTATCAATCAAATAATTGGTCACTGATACCCACGTCCATCTCATCTTACCCACGACCATCGTCACGGCACCGCACACACCCAATCTCTATCCACCACCACTTCACCTCCACAGCACAGCCACCAAATCTCGATCCACCATCAAACAGCCAGATCCACCATCTCACCTCCATAGCACAGCCACCAAATCAGGACGCATTGCCCACAATTGATACGCCTAAAACCATCACCACCAACTCTAGATCCTTCATCAACAGCCCAATCCACCACCGCCACTAAAACCACTCAAACATGCCTACCCACCGCAACTACCACCCAACAAAAAAATCTCCAAATCCACAACCGTTATCCCCTCCGCTCCATTATCCCAGCCTGTATCCACAAATCACCACTACCACTACCACCACCTCCTCAAATCCACCATCTTCTTCACCTCTACCACGCCCATCACACCACAGCTATCAACACAACAGATGAAGAGAAAATTAAAAGAATTCAAAGTGCATAATCATCGTTACGAGAAGCGCAACCCCATGGCAAACGAAGCAGCATCAATGTACACACATCGCAGCGACGTCGCAGCTTCGTGCAACACTAGGCGGCGATGCTACGCCTATCCCGTGCGATGCCGTCGCTTCCGGTCGTCGGAGGAGGCGTGAGATGATGCATAAGAATAGATTGGTGTGTGTGTGAAATGAATGAGATGATATGAAATGAATTAGGAGTTTATTGGGGTGGATGGATTGATGGTGGTAGGTTAATTAATTTAATAATAATATTATTAATATTAAAAATAAATTATGATATGATTTTTGCATAAATAATCCTTAAACCTGATTTTTGAAATTGAAAGTTAAAAAACATGGTTGGGTGTAATTTTCTCATATAAAAATTAGGTTAATGGGCTTGAGTAATCATTTGAGTCGAAGCATAACAATTGAGCTAAAATGATTTTGAATAAATTTTGTTTTTTGTTTTAAATAACTAAACGAATTAGGACGTGACACGGCGAAACTCGGATTTTTCGATTTAAACTGTCATCCCGACTCTGAGTGGGATCTATTTCCAGACAATTTCTGGGCCCTCTTTATCTTTTGCTGGACCCCTCTTAATTTGGTTGGGAAAAGGCTGAAGGGCACCTATATGGGCCTTTACTTTTATATTTTTGTGGTGGGACGCATTGGTCAGCGGGCTTCAAGAAGATTGAGTCCATCTTTGATATCAACCCAACTCTATTGACATCTCTATATTTATGTCATTTAGATTGAACAAAAGAAAGAGAAAATTACACTAAACCATGTGTTTAGTTTAATGTTTATGAAAATCAAGTTTATACTTTATTTAATCAAAAATTAGGTATTAATTTCACAATTAATATTAATAATGATATTTTAAATTAAATTAATATATATACGCACCCTCACCCCCATTTCAATCCAATCTATCCAAACCCTAAATCTATCCATTTCTCTCTACCCTCCCATTTCTCTCCACAACCCCACCTCCTCCCACCACCACCGCCTGTCGCCTCCTCCCCTTCTCCCTCCCCCTCTCGCCTCTGTCTTCTCCCCTTCTTTCTCTCCCTATCTTTCTGTCCTCTGTGTGGTGGTGTGTGCGGTGTGCAGTGGGTGTTGTGTGGTGGTGTGTGTTGTTGTTTTGGGGGCGGTGGCGGTGGTGGTGGTGAAAGGTGTTTTGGCGGTGGTATTTTTGCGGTGGTGTCCTCTATCTCTGAACAGCAGTGTTGACGCTGCTGTGAACGATGGGTTTACGATCAGATCAACTTGGTAGAACATGGGTTTACGATCCCCGAGTCGAGTCTGACCCGCTCGACCTTGATCCCAACGGAGAAATTGTAAAGTCTTTATTCTTCTCTCTGCACTACTTTACCCAGACAACTTATGGGGTTTTCAAATTATCCGTTTGAGATTAAGAATCGCAAGTACTCGAGCTTATTGTTTATGACTGGGAATAGGTACATGTTGGAACTTTGTTATTTTATTTTTTTTCCTGATTATTCTCCTCTGTACCTGAGCTGTTTGTATTATTCCTCAGGTGGGTAAACATGACAAGATGGGTGATGGTGGATCTGTGGTGTGGTGATGGTGATCCATGTGGTGGTGGTCTTTTTTGTTATTGTTGTGGCGGGGTCACCGGAGATGGTGGATTTTTTGGTGTCTGTGACCTAACTACTGAACTGTGACTTTAAAATTGATAATTTGTAACTAAAAAAAAAATATATGTAACCAAAAAATTTGAAAATACGTGACCTGTGACGTATAATTTTTTTGATTTGTGACCTATAAAATTTTAAATTTGTGATCTCGAAATAATCCGTGACCTACAATTTTTTTAATCTATGACCGATTAAAAAACTGTGACCTTAAAATTTTAAATTTGTGATCTCGAAATAATCAATGACCTACAAAATTTTTGATCTGTGACCGGAGAACGGTGTCGGAGTAGTCGCCGGAGCAGTAGAGGTGGTGGAGGTGGGGTGGTGTGTGTTAATTATATTATATTACAGTTTAATATTTAATTTAATATAATAATTGTAAAATATAATTACTTAATTTATGAAAAATCTGATTTTTGCAATTTTAAACATTGGGACATGATTTTTTATTTTGAAATAGATAAAAACTGAGTTGTGAACTTTTTCCCTAAAGAACGCACAAGGGAATGTTAATTTATGTCGGCCCATTTATTGTAGGAGCACGATAATAAAAAACTTGAGTTGTATAGTTTTAGTAACTATTTATTGGAAAATAACTCTCACGTTATCGTTAAATAATTAACTTACAAGACAAATTGTCGAGGCTCTTTTTGATAGTTAATTCATTCCCTCACAAGATGTAAATTCAAAATTTTGTCTCTACAAATTCAAAAGTCGGAGTTGCACTCTGATGCAATTTTTGTCCCAGGACTTTCCCTTAAAGATACGCCCACGATATAATCGTGCTAGATGATCTTTGCCTTGAAATGATCCTTGACAGGTATGTTAGACTGCGTTTCATGATATATTTAGCTCATCATCTTGGGTTGCCTTGATAATAAGTTCTTTTAAAATTGATTATTTGTCCCCAATTTGAATGGATCTCACGTGATTCCTCAAAATCAATTGATTCATGGTAAACTCAAATACATCGATGATGTATTTTATTCCAATTTTTTACAATTAAACAATTCTCAATCGTTGTCTTTGCAGATCGGATATTAGTTATTACTTATCAAATCTTGCTCTACAATCTGGTCTGATTTCACCTTGATGATTATGTTACGATGTACTTAAAGCCTATCCTATCTTGATTTTGTCCAATTATCTAGTTCAACAAAAAGGTCCATTTGTATACAATAACTGCATTGTAGCCGTATAGTTTAGTGGCAGAAGTGTGATTTTTTCTATTACCCCTTTACGTATATGTTGTTCTATATTTCCATGAATCTAGGAACTTTTACTTTCTAACAATTACATTTTTTTTTATTTTGTCAGAAGAGTCCTTCGAGTATTTTGATTTTGCATTAGATCAAGTTACTTCTGCATCAAAAATGCATATTCATAAAAATATTTTTAAAACCACAATGATTCGACTAAGCTAAGCCCATGATTCTCTGAGTAAAAATCATTGAATCATCACTTATTCCATGAATAGATAGACTCTGTGTCGGGTAAGTTTCGACCTGCACGAAAGGAGTAATGATCTGGGCATTGTTTCGTAGAGAGGTTAGGTGCTTTTACCATATAACTTGTTTGTTAAGACTAATATTTATTTATGAAAAAAGACATATATGGTAGAATCGTAACCATAGAATACGACCCTAAGACGCACGTGTTTCGTTTGTTGAAATAAGGACAAATGGTTTGATTCGATGTTTCCTAATTAGCAATTTGACACAAAAATCAATAAAATAATTCTTAGATCTTGATCAAGAGATTGAGAAAAATAAAGATATTTTTAGATTATTTTAATTAGAATCAACCGATTCATGGTAAACTCAAATCCCTCGATGATGTATTTGATTAAATCATTTATTTCTCTTGAGGGGTCTTTGTCGCATTCAAGATCTACGAATATCATGTCAGGTTGATCTATGTCAACTTGATGTGCGTGCATTCTTGTCGTTGAATATTCACCTCATCCTTGTCAAATTCATCAAAAGGTCTATGACCTCGGCCAGTGTCATGCGACGCCTGATTAAGGTTTGGGAACTCTATCCTTGACCTCAGTTGGAATGAGCCGAGTCTTTAAGCGTTTAGCATGAACAATAATAGAATAACCATGTTAACAATACATTCTCCATAATCTATTTCACAATGCATTCTTAAGCAAAAAAATTGGAGCTAATAGCGTAAGTGCAACTTTTCTCTCACTTTTTAAATGTTGTCTCTAACTTTTGGGTTTTCACTAGCCCACACTCAGAGAAACAAACTTATCATATTTAACAAAGTATTTGTCTATGTTCAATAATGTCTAAGCATAATATCATGGATTCATGGACTTAGCCTTTCAAGTTACGAAGGATATAATTTTATGGAAAGGTATAAGACATAAATGCTAAATCACTTTATGGAAGGATATAATTTTTTAGGTGGTCCTTAGACATCTACAAGCTTATGGGAAATCCAAATCAAATATCCTTACCAACATCAGTAGCAGCCAGAAGCGTGATTAAGCAACTGTTTAAGAATCCAAATTTAGCAAATTTCGTACATATTAAGTACTTAAAGTCGCATTTTGTTAATTACCTTCCAAAAAGAAGACATTATTATTATTTGATATTTTTAAGATAGTTTGATAAATACACGATTTATCAATGGGACCATTTGTCTGTACCACATAGTTTCAACCCATGTGCCATAGTCGTACCTACCATATGACAACTTCAATATAATGAAAATTCATGTTTTTTTTTTCCCTATAGATTTCTGTCGATAATTCTGTTGGAAGTTGCACCACATATTGAGATTCGACTCTCTTTTGTCAATTTCTTTTTCTTTGAATTTCTTGTAAGAGTCTCCATGAATGAAAATGAAGGTCGGGAATTTTTATGAATCCCTACTTGAAATTGACATTGATAATTGTTGGTATAGTTGAAGAAAAAATGAAAGGAGGAAAAGAAAGTGAACAAAGAGGAGGATTCCCTTTCTACTTTCGACATCATTTATTGAGCAACCATAGATAGAGTTTGAGTTGAATAAGTGGAATGCACTTGGGTGGTGAGAGCGAGAGAATGACTATTGCTTATTCTTAGCGAAAAGGAAAGAATGCTCTCCATTCGTCCTTTGCAATTGTGAATAAGGATGTGTTTGATATGATTACTCAAAACACGACAAAAGATAAAGTATTCAACTTTATTGGTGACACACTTTGATTTATAAACCAACGATTTGACCATAGAAATAATGTCTCACGTTCAACTGTACCAAGAATGGTTATCTATAGCAACAATAATTCAAATTACACTTAGTCGATCTCACACGCCAACTCGTGAAATTTAACATGGATCAATATTTATGTGCTAACTTAATCGAACATACTTTTTCTCTAGCAAGTGGTGGTTGGGGTACCATCTTTTGTAAAATCTTAGCTCAAATTTGGATAATCTTATATATATTAATTTCTTGTGTTATTTTAACACCAACTAAAATTTCTTCTTATGGGAGACATGGTATCTATCATGTGGCAAGAAAAACTTCTACACATTTTTTCTAAAGGAAAAACTACACATTCAGTGTGAACCCATTGACAGATGGGCCCACAAAACTCGACGGTCCTGATCAAGAGTTGGCGGGCCAATCCACCACTGATCTTGATGTTGCCAGCCAAAGAGAGAAGGAATTATCTAACTGTTCAGGCAATTTTCCAGCATGTGGGCCCTCACCACCTGAGCCAAGACTGGAGATGATAACGTATGGGCCCCCACACCAGCGCAATTAATTTCAAGAAAATTAATATTATTGTCCATAGTAGCAAATTGGTACTCAAATTTTTCAAAAGAAGCAATTTCCTCCTCGCCTCTAATTGCATTAGTTCAATAAATCTTTATTAAATCTTCATGGGATTCTCGCATAAAAATGTCTTAATTTAAATTTTTGAATGTTGTACAAGTCGGAAAATCAAAAGATAATTTTATAAATTTGGATATATGAAGAAATAAGATTCGTTGACTGAGTAGAAATAACATTTTGCTTGGAGCTGGATGAACACATTCAAGGAGTGTCCTCAAGATTATGACCTCGCAATAGGGTTCCATTCAATGCTTGAGCTAAAGGGGACGAAGTCGAGGAAATCATGACACCAAGGGCTCTTGAATGTACTACCAACAAGTTTATCAACTATTCAAGAAATGACATCAATCAACCTGATTGATTGGATTTTCTTAATCAAACCCTAATCATCGAAACATTAGGGAAATTCCAAATTAAAATCATTTAGCCTCCGTTTGTTTCTTATTTTTCATCCGTAAAAATGAAAAATATGACTATTATCCATCACATCAAATCATCAATTTTGAATTTTTATTTCTTATGTGGAATTCAATAACAACTATATTTTTCATTCTCATTTTACAATAATGAGAATCAAACAGACCTTAGTCAATCTCATCTCGCCATAAACTTCTCCCACCCAAAGGAGCCCACAATCTAGAAAATATTTTTCAAATGCATTTCTTGAATTCTTTATTAATTTATGCATTATAAAGCTACCAAGGACACGATCTCATCAAGTTATTCTGCTAGATCGACCATCAAAAAGAGAAGCGATGTACTACTCAAGCTTTCAAAAGTTATTAATAAAGTTATGATCTATCATAAATTAGAATAAAACTATCGTGAAAGTAAAAATAAATAAATAAATAATTAGAAAACTAACGAGAAGAACTTGAGAATGAAAAATTCATAAACCATTGAAGTGACCCATTTTTGTGAATCATTAAAAATTTATATATATGGCATATCAAGCAAATTAAATAATAGAATTACATTTATCTTTGTGGCTAAAAATAAAAATTCAAAAATGGCCTGAACAAAATGTCAAAATAGTACCTTTCCAAACCCTAATCTTGAAATCAATCTCACAAAAATATTGTATGATATTAAAGAAAACAAAGTAAAACTTAAATCTTCACTCAATCCGATTGTTGTTACACATCAAACTACACAAATAAGGGATGAAAACGATGACCATTTCTTGTTTGTTTTAATCATTTTATCTAAAAATTTGAGATTTTAGTTTGAATTTATTTAAATCTTATATTCAATATTACGGAGACTTGCTCACTTGAGATTGAGATTCATTGGGGGCGTCGTCTGTCCAATACTGATTTAGCCCTGTAAGCATGCCAAGTTGCCCTTCTATCGAGCCACTGCTGCCACTGCCACGGCCAATACTCGAACCTAATTGTTGACTAGGCCATAGAGCAACGGGAGTGGGAAAATTCATAAAATGCAGCCCACTAGACATAGTACCTCTATACAAAGTAGCAGCAGCAGCAGCACTGTTATTTACTGAAGGAAATGTCCAAATGGGATCGCCATTCATCACTTGATTATTTGAACTGGCCACCGGCGGCCAAAAATTTGCCGGAATTGAAGCATGGCTTGCCGGAATCGAACCGGTACTTGACTGCAGAAAATAATTTCCTATTTGATTCTGAGGTTGCCGTAATTCTTGCTCCAGCCTACGTTTTCGCCCTATACTTTCCTCAGTTTCCATTAAGTTTAGTGTGTTCTCTCGCAACTCCGGCTTAGCCTGCAACAAATTAGGGTTAAGGCTTGTCGACTGAAAGTTCAACATCGTCGTTGAGGGATTCTCCGATGATAATCCAATGCTTGGTAAAAGCCCCCGGCGTTGAGGCATCAAGAAATTCGAGTCAAAGTACGTAGATCTTAATTGAGATGGCACTGATATGCTGGAACCTGAGCTTCGTACACTTATATTGAGTGAAGTGAAGTTTGCCGGGATTGTACCAGTGCCGGTGGCGGCAATGACAGCCGGCTCAGCTTGTTGAAGCAGCCATTCAATGGTTTCTCCATCGGACCTATGGCCGAGTTCTCTTGTGAGCTGAAAAACCCTAGCAGCACAGAGTGCAGGCATTCGGATTCGTCGGCCACGTCCATCCACCTTGGTGTGACGATCTTTCGTTGTCGTACGCTTGGGTGGCGGCTTCTTGGATGTCTCGTTGGAGACGTAGTGGCTTGACGAGGCTGTTGGTGGTGGAGTAGTGGCTCTAGGGTTTAATGTATCGGCTGCTGCGGCGGAGATGGCTAGAGATGGATAATTTGAGGTGGAGGAGCTGGCTTCATCTTCTTTCTTTTCCAGCAATTGGAATGGAAAGTTGTGGCGGCGGTGGAGATGATCATCACCTCCTTCCATGATCACGAGCAAAACTTAAAAAATAAGCTCTATTTCTCTTTCCCTTTATCAAAAATAAAAAGTGATTTTCTTTAACTTAATTCTATGTGTTCGTATGTTTTCTCTCTCTATATAGAATGATCAAAATATATATACTCTCTCTCCTTCTTTTGATTGATGCCATGGAAGTGCTTTGAGACAGAGAGAGGATAAGTAAGGAGGTCAAACTTTAAGCAGGAAAGATAATGAGTATGAATTTAAATGGTGTGATGTGCTCTTAGAAAAAGCAGAAATTTTCAGAAGTGAAAAGAAATTATTTTGTTGGGCTTGTTATAAATTTTTTTTTTTTCGAAGAGAAATAAAAATGTATGACCAGACTTTCTATCAATATAATAAAATCTTGTGTCACTTAAATAAATATGAAGACAAGATTGACATTTTAAAAAGTTACGAGCAATCAAATTTCAAGACGGGTTAATTTTTATTTTTTTTATGACTCACGTGTCTAAGTTTCACACGACTAATTCTGAGAAGTGACGGCCTTCCAACATTTAAATGTTGACTTCCAATATAAATGTTGCTTTCTAACTGTTGTGGAAATTCGAACATTTGATATTCCGTAGAGAACCCTCTTTCTTTATCAGTGTGCCATGCTCGTAGGGGCAATTTTTATTTATTGATATTGTTTTTTTTTTTTTGGTTTGTACATAGAGGGGTGAAGGGGTTTTTATTTTGACTGTAGTTGGACAGAGCCTTTGATTCAGAGTCCACGTGGGATGCTCTCTTTTTATGAACATAAAGACAAAAGGTAGCCAGGTTGGGTCCCAATCCCAAGTCAAAAAAAATTAAAATTGAGTTAAGAAAGGTAAAGATGTTGATGATCGAAGGTGGGAATGAATGCATCCCATCACCTTATTCACTTCCTTTTTGCATCTGTTCTGGACCTTTGCAATGCTGGATTATTATGTACTGCTTTGGGATTCCTGCTGTTTAATTTTTGTCTCTGCTTTTTTCATCTTTCTTTAGGGCTAAACATCCCTTTAGCAAAGCTACTGCTTTTATTTCTACTTCTCGTAAAAAAAACTATTGAAAAAAGTTACATTACGTCAATTTTATTTAAAAATTCTTTTAATCAAACAAAATACATTCAGAAGATTATTCAAACATGTTCAGAAGCATTATTTTGAGCTCAGAAGCAATTTTAACTTTTTAAAAGCGTTGCTAAAAGAAAATCTTGTTTCATAGCCATGCAACCATTCATGACTTGCTTGTTACGTCTAACTGAATTGTATAGTACGCAAACATTTATGCCTTTAAAGATTAACTTTAATTTTAAAATATAAGGTAGTTCAATAAGGTCATACAAAATTCGTGTATTCAAATTTTACTCATGCCCAACTATGGAAATTGTTTATGTTCTGATCTTTTGGTCACGAAAATTATTGGACCCACCTAAGGGGGAACATTATGGGCGGACCTGGGGGGTCCTGGAGGCACATGCCTCCCAACTTTTGAATTTTTTTTTTAATATATAAAATTATGTTTTGTATCGATTGAAATATAAATTTTAATTTAAATTAAAGTTAACAATTAATTTTAATAACATATTTCATGGAATCCATAACTATTTAATTTTTATCAAAATTCATTAAAAATTTGATTTTAATCTCCATCAAATAAGACGAAATCACAATAAATTTTAATTTTTCTCTTTTTCTCTCGACCTTTAACAAAATCTTAACTTTCCATCAAATAAGAGTGAAATATTGCATTCTTAATACTATTTCGAAGTGTTCACGATCTAGTTTTCTACGTCGTTAATGGCGTNATGTAATTTACATAATTTTATTAGAAAACTTATATGGGAGATAAATTAAAAAATTTCAAAATTTTACATCCGAAAAAGTTATATCCTATGTAAATTTTCGGATGCAAAATTACATGGGGTACGATTTTTTTGAACGTAAATTTTTTATTGTAAAATTTTTCTCAATTTCTTTTCAAGTTCGATTGTGCCCCCTAACTTTTAGATTCTGCGTCCACCTACTGGGAACATTGGAAATAAAATTTGAATCGTGTTACATGTACAATACTGGTTGACAACGTCCTATTTAGCATCATCATATCCATCCATTTAAAAAAATGTCTTCTACATCACATGCTAAGATTTTGACAACACATGATTGTCAACCATTGTTGTCAACAAATGTTGTACACTCAACTTTATTCATAAAATTTTTATAACAATAAATCCATCTCTTATTCAACACTTTAAGCCCTCGTTTGTTTATCATTTTTCATCAATAAAAATAAAAAATATGACCGTTATCCATCACATCAAACCTTCAATTTTAAATTTCTGTCTATTGTGTGGGGTCTAATGAAGACTATATTTTTCATTCTCATTTTACAATAATGAGAATCAAACGGATCCTAAAATTTTATAATTAAAAAAATAGTTTAAGATCTATTTATTTTTGTTTCTAATTGGTCAAGGGCTACCTTGGAAAATCATACAATTACCTTATGGAGAGTTAGCCTAAATAACCTTTTATTTTCTCTCAACAAGAAGATCATTTTTTCGCGGCAGGTAGCAATTTTATTGCATTTCAGCTTTTGCCCATGTTTGGCGGAATTAAACTATATATACATTTTTGTTGACATTTCCCTCTATATATCAAAATCTGACCAATGATGTGAAATGTTGTAAAAACCAATGGCTACGATAAATACCGTGCATTATGATATCAAACTTAATGTAGATAAAAATGTACCCATGTTTGGCTCATGTTTATAAACTATTCAAAAACACTCAAAAGTCATATTTTATTCTCACATTTCAAATGATCCACATATACTGTCAACTTATTTACAGCTCATTTCTACCTATTTATAATTGAAATTATTTATAAACACTTTCAAAACATGTTTGTCTATAATGCATATTTCGGACAGCTTAAATTTTAAAGTGATCAAACATACTTTTTATTCACACATTTAGGACTTACAACTTATTCCTCACACCTCTTGTATAATCCACAACTTAAAAAGCACTACAAAAAAAGCACAGAGAACAGAGGAATCATAACTCAAGATGGGCAAATCTTATATGCCAACCTTGACACACCTTTTGGGATAAGAAATATGGTATGACTGCAAGAGTAGAAGCTATTGTTAAATGGCTTTATATCTACAGTTATTGCACGCGGGAAAAGATGGTGACACATGTACTATGACTAGCAAATCTTTAATTTTCTTTTGCAGCAAGAATACTCGTTTTTCTTTCCCTCAATTATACAAAAATTTCATAATATTGTCGACCATGTTGAGTGCTGCACAATCAAACATGTAATGAAAACACAAAACTGTGACAAAATATAGCCATGTAATCAATTCATCAAAAGAGAAAAAAAGAAAAAGACGTGGCCATGAAAGGGTAAGGGTTAGAAAACCACCAAGTGGCCCAAAAGATCACTAAAGGAGAAAAATGAGAAACGTCAACAATCATATGCTCTTTTACTCGCTTTCTTCGCCAACCTCAAACCTCTCTTACAGATGCCATTACCAAATCATTACGAGTCTACGAAAAAAGAAAAACCAAGTCGTTACTCGTCACCATCTTCAACTTCATCATTCTCACCGTTCTCTTCTGAGCTATCACTACCATTTTTCTGCTGTGACATCTTAGATCAAAACTTGCTAAAGATAATAACACACAACAAATAAAGATAGAGAAAAGAAAAATGGATCAAGTAAATTTCTCCGAGTAGAAATGACTCACTTAATGCAGATGTTCATATACTTAGTCTTGGTCTGAAAGTCTAGAATCACACGACTAAACAACCTCGCTCCCAATACAGGGTTCCCCTACTAAACTGTAAGTAGCTGCTGTATTTATATTGCATCCATTCCAGGCTTGGTACAAGAATCAAACAACATAAAAAGCCAAGAGATTAAAAGATGTTTAAACTATAAAATTTGATCCCACTAATTTTATATTCATGACCACAGAGAGTCCTCTAAGCAGGCAATAAGCAAGCAATACACACGTGTATTATGTATCCATGTATAACTTATACTAAACAGTACAAGTGCCTTAGAGAAGTAATTTTCTTTGCTTACCTCATCATCATCCACATCAAAATCTTCTTCATCAGCCTCCTACAGTAAGAATACAGAGACCACACTAGGAATATTAAATAGCCATGCAGGTTGAGCTCACCATAATCTGCTATTAATATTTCAAGGAGAGTATGAAGAAGGGCATGAAAAGAACTTTACATTGTTAAAATAAGTGAGAGGATTTGGCCAGAGATCGTCCTTGATTATCTCAGCTAAAATAAAGGTTAAGAATATATGCAAAATGCCCATGCCCCTAAAACGAAGTAAACCTATAGCCCATTCACTGCTTAAGACATGATTTACCTCATCATGAATCTCCACTATATCATCTTTATGCTGGGTGTCACTAAACTAGGTAAAGAAGCTGCAAACCATGTCGCATGAGCAAAAGAAAAGGAGATACACGAGAATATACAAATACTTGCCAAATGGCAATGCAATCTAGTTCCAGATAATCAAATGCAAGGACTAAAGCAAGTAGAAAGAATATCCAATTTTTACATATTACGATCACAAGCCCACGTAGAATAAGATAAAACCTAGAGAAATCGCAACATTAGGATCATCATCACAGATGCTATAAGATAAAGCAAGTCAAAACCGTGCCAATGTGATATATTTTGTGCACATGCACAATCCAAAACACGACAGAGTGCTAGTGGTTCCTACACTATATCCCTTGTCCTCAATAAAGCAGCAACAATTTATTGCTGCCAAGAAAAGAGTACAAGGAAAAGTACATGATACAACTGCCCCATGTCTGAGAATTAAAGGAGACAACACAGAACTATCTACATCAGAGCACAAGGATGCATTCTAAGGAAAACAAAGAAGGCATATTGTAAGTGTGCATTCAAGAGGATTACAAAATCCAAAATGAAAATGGTACAAATCATGAGCACAGAATCTTAATGAAAACATTCAAGCTGTTTGCAGCAAATTCGGCAAGTACACCTGACGATTTCCAGCAAAGAATTTTGCAGATGATACTGCTCAAGTACCTATTCTGGAATACAGATACAGCAGAAACAAGTCCACATCTTATTTGAATGGAAAGAAAATTTCGGGTATAAAGATTATCAAAGATGATTGTGACATTACCGATGTCATCATATTCTTTGAAATGAACACTGGTATACTTGAATGCAACTATAATGAAGAAATTTTAAGAGTTAGTATCAATCTTGTTAATGGCCCCAAATGACCATAGTGACCTATTCGTTAGGATGAAGTTGCAACCCACTCAGCAGCCTAAGTTTACCACTTCAAATGTCAGCGTCATTACCATTCCTAGATAAAATCCACTAGTCTCCGAGTTGCTAAAAAAAATTGCCAGTATAGAGTACAAACTTGCATATTGTGTAACAACCTTTCCTCAGAATGAGACCGCTTGTTTCCTTTAGTCTCATCACCACCATTTGGAATGGCCTTCACAAGAAACATGCCAAGAAGCTTAAAACATGGAACTTATAGGAGTTGCAAGAGTCAAGGTATGACAATATCAAAGCTTACCTTGCCTTCTTTCCATTTAATGGATGTAGAGCTTATTTTTGTTGTTCCATCCTCGAGGAAGGTAAAAGTCTTGGTGAGTTTCGAATCTTCAAAATACGGATTGGTTTTCAAGTTCTGAGGGGAAAGCAATATAGAAAATTAGTATATTTTATACAGACTTCATATACTATAAGAGATAAAAAAAAAAAAGCATATTCCCACAAGTAAAATTCTACAATACCAATAAATAAAAAAATAAAAAGAAACAAAAAAGACTCACAAATGTAATTGAACAGCCCGATTTCAAGTCTTTAGATTCTTCCACTTCAAGGGAACTTAAATACTTGAAAATCTGGCATCAAATGAAAGAGATTACCCAACTTGTGTCAGATTCAAGACCAAGCACAACAGTTAATTCCATAATAAAACCATTATTATGTTTTCTTAATTTAGAGAAAGCAGACTGGCAAAAGATGAACCTTTTGGTCGTCTTCAGTTAAAAGTTCACTACGGGCAGGATGACTCAAAAACTGCAAGGGAAGGAACACGTGTCATTGAGGAGGGAAAAAACACTTTAAGAAGTGACAAAGACTTGTAAATAGCAAGTATGGGATCACTTACTGCAGTCATCCAGAAGTCCGGAATTGACTTTATGACGTCATTTCTCTTATCAAAGACAGGCTTCCTTTTCTCACTGTACTTCTGTTCTATTTCCAAGACTTCTTCACTAGCTTCTTCATTGATATGAAAGCAGTGAAAATAGTAATTGACATTTTACTCTCTTCCATTTTAAAGTTCAAAGGCATTCCTAGTATAACTAATGAACTATAGCAGTAGCTAAAAATCATATCAATGTCTCAAAATAAATAAAATACATGCAATTCCTTAGGTATTGTTTTCATGAATTTCAGCCTCATCAAGATCACTTTTGTTGAAGATAATAAACCACAACCACAAAACAACTTGGATGTGATTCTCAAGCACTAGTTTCAAATTCATGCTTATTAAAACTACTAGGAAAATGTAAAATGCCAATCATGCCGTTATCTTTTTGCAAGAGTGAAGGAAAAAATGGGCAAGAAATAAATTGAAAATCAAATTTCTAAAAATCAACTGAGCAACGCTGTTTTGATTAGTTCTAAATTTAATAACATATTAGAATTGAGCAACTTTCAATATCTATCATGGGAAAAAGAATATTAATAACTAGGCTCCACTGAATTTCTTCATATTCTAGGTCCCAATAACTTATGGGTCCTCCTTACAGGACCCAAATAATGCGAAAAAAAAAAAAAGTAGCAATCTTTTCTTCAAAATCTCTCATTTCTATTATAGAAGGGACTGCATTTGAAATGGGTATTCAAAATTCATAACAAGATTAATTTACGTTTTTCTGGGTCCTCCTTGCAGAGCCCAAATAATGCGAAAAAATTAAAGGAAATTGAACTAGAAATAGGAAACGCAGTATTAAGTTCATGATGTAGAACGCGTTTGATTAATTCTATTAAAATTTATAATAAAACTGATTTACTCTTTTTGGGCCCTCATTACAAAATCCAAATAACTCGGAAATTTTGAAATAAGCAATTTATTTTTCTAAAAAATCTCTAAAGAGGAAAATAAATTTAAAAATTGAGAACAAATTACTTTCACCTTTTCAAGTTCTCGTATTGGGCTTCCTGGAGCTTCTCTATGGAAAGGAGTAGGTCTCTATCAATGTGCTCTGTCGCGTTGTTTTCTTCAATTTTCTGCTTTTTCCCTTTGTCAACTCCCATTCTTCTACAAACTTTAGAATTTTACAGGGAGGAAAAATTGTTCCTGCTGCTGTTTTGAGAGCTTTGCTTAAACCCTAGACAATCCCATTTTGTTTGTTTATATGTATAGCATCTTTATAGCAACAGAAAGCGCCTCAATGTGCCAGGGTGAGGGAGGAAGGAACCTTGCTTGCTTGCGGAAGGCACAATACATGTGGGACAAACATCATGTGAGTATTGCACAATTTTTCTACATTCAGCATCGTCAGTGAGGAATACAGAAAAAATGAGTAATGCTAATTACGCTATTGCCCTCATTTTGGTAATAATATACACCAGTTTAGTTGATAATTATATAATATTCTATGATAATTTATTTAAATGTAAAGTCACGTGATTGATTTGATTGAATCTATAAAGTGTAGCCATTGATATTAATATTTTAATATCATTGATTCTGAATAACATTATTCTAAAAATAAATGAAATAGCCGGATAGACTTGGCCCTTAGGGGCCAACTTAGAAGGTTTGAGACTACTAGTTATGGGTCTTTTTAGTGTATCGGGGGTTTATGAAATGATCGATTTTGAATGAATTTGAGTAGTTAGTAAAATAGTCAAATTCTTGATTAAAAGTTTAATATTCAACACATTAGAAAATTTTAAAAATAAAATAAAAATAGAATAATACTATCTAGCAACGCTATTACAAAAAATCACTTTATGTGACACGTATGTGACATTAATGATAAATCTAATTAAACTTGATGTTATAAACTCATTTAAATGGGCGTACCGTGTTTTTAACATTTTTTATGACTTCTAAATTTATAAACTTTGAACAAATGTAAGGGCACAGATAGAGACAGGCCTGGGCTTTAGTCTTCGTCTACCCAAGCCCATCCTTTTATATGTTTACAAAAATAATAATAAATGTTTTTCTTCTACGTATTAGTTTACTTAGTGGCGGACCCCAGTACCCAACGAGGTGGCGTGACCGCGCTTGCTAAGATCCGCCAGAACAATGGAAGGAAGGAAGAAGATGACCAGACAAGCGAGGTGGCGGCTGCGAGGCGAGGTAATGTTTCTGTTTTTTATTTTATTTTTTTTCTTTTTTTTAAATTTGGGCTTATGTTGTGGCTTTTGGGCCTTTTTACCTTAAATGACCAGGCCAAAAAGAAAACATACCTAGCGGTAGTGACGACTGGAGCTAAGGAGGAAGCTTGAAAAATGAATTTTAGGCGTCGCACATGGAGGATTTTGGAAGATGACAAGCAATTGGATTGAGCTGTTTTCTTTTTCAATTATGGGCCTCTTCTTTTGGCTGGGCCTCTTTTTAAAAATTTTTTTAGTACTTACAAAAATACCCTTAAAATTAGGGGTGTTTTGAAAAATCATGTGAAAGATTTTTATAAGACTTATGTGAAATTGGCCTTGTACAAACTAGGGGTACTTACAAAAATACCCTTAAAATAAGGGATGTTTTGAAAAATCATATGAAAGATTTTTAGGAAGTAAAAAATACTGTGTAAAATGAAAAAGTGACACAATGTTACTTTTTTATAAAAATTGTCACTTTTTTAAAAAAAAGTGATACAAACTCAAAAAAAGTGACAAAATTCAAAAAAAGTGACGCACTAAAAAAGTGATACAAATTTAAAAAAGTGACAAATACTTAAAAAAGTGACAAAACATCAATCAAAACCTATGTTTGTTATTCAAAAAAGTGATAGAAATTTTAAAAAAGTAACAAACACTAAAAAAAAGTGACGAAAACCCGATTACTTTTTTGAGTGAATTGTATCACTTTTTAATAAAAAGTTAAGTGTAATGTCACTTTTAATATCAATTTTTAATAAAAAAAAATGACATATAATATCACTTTCATTAAAAAGTGAGGTGAAATACAATGTCACTTTTATTACAAAGATTTATTTCTCACTAAAAAAGTGACAGAATTTTTTTAAAAATTAACAAACAATAAAAAAAAGTGATAGAAAAAGTGACAAACGTTAAAAAAGTGACATGAATTAAAAAAATAGTGACAAACATTCGAAAAAGTGACAAAACACAAATCGAAAAAGTGACAAACTATTCATTCACAACTTTTCTTCTCACAAAATCTTACAAACAATCATAACCTACAACTTTCAGTTCCAATAGAAGATAAATCACGCAAACTTACCTTCTAAACAATTATGCAAGAATTGAGTTATTGCCCACCAAGAACCACCAAAATCATACCACAAATCCAAATATGAACTATACAATGAAAAGGAACAATTTCACGTGGTTATCAATTGAAGCTGGGTGGAAATTGATCTTGACCCATGATATATGGTCGTGAGCGCCACAGGATGAAGAAGAATGCCAATGTGGTCCGCGACCATGGATACGTCAGACGGAGGAAGAATCGCCATTATTCGTGGGCTGCTCCGTGACAGTCGAGATTGGGCAGTGTTCTGGTGAAAATTCGTGCAGCTGGAGGGATGGTTGGGACAAATTGTGACCTTGGTACTGAGCATGGGCCATCGTCCATCGACCAGTGTAGGTCCGACGTCATGGTTATGGCCGGAAGTTGTGATTCCGGCAGAATAAAAATTTTCAGGCAGCGATTTTTTAGCTGGGATTTCTTCCAATTTTGTAGGTGTTATTGCTTGCTGTTGGGTTGTAATGGAAGAAGACGTTAAGGGCTTTCCATCGGTACCTATATCCTGTGGTTTGGGTGGTCGATCGCTGCCTGAAAAAGAGGCCACAAGTGGCTGCTAGAAAGGGCAAAAATCGTGATGTTGTTTGGGGATTTGTTTTAGTTTTGAGCGTAATTAATACGGGATTTACGTGATTATTTGTTTTAGTTTTGAGCGTAATTAATACGGGATTTACGTGAGGTTTAATTAATTTAGGGTATTAATCTAATTGGATAAATTTTTAGAGTATTAGGCCTAATTTTCCCATTTTTTTAAAGGTAGGCCCAGTCCATTGGATGCCGTTTTGCATTTAATGTGTATATATTGTTTAATTGAAACAATTAATTCATTTGCAAAATGAATTAAGATCGCAATTCCAAACCCTATCTCATTCCCTCCCTCTCGCCCCTACGACCTGTTGTTAGCTGTCGACAAGTCGCCGCCAAGCCTCTTCAATTTTTGCCACTAACCCACGATATCTTCGTTGTACTACTAACTAGTAACTTCGTGAGTCATCTGCAAGACTTGTTTCACCCTTGTTTGGTGGTCATTATATCACTTTTGCCCCTAGTTGGGATAGTAAAGGTGGATAATATTTTCATTTGAAATTTTTTTATGGAGAAGTTTTTTTTCTGTTTTTCATTGAAGATATTAAGTTTATTCCTTGCAGTGAAAATTGTCTCAAGGTGGATAATTTTTCTTTAAAATTTTGTTCATTACAATGAAATTTGTGTTAAAGTGGAGATTGTTAAAATTTGGATGTGATCAGAATTCTTTGTTAAAGATAATTGAGAGTTCTAAAAAATATACATTAAGAAAAATTTTATTTGGAATATTATTGTGGAATCATATTCAAGTTTGCTTGACGGATTCTAGTTGAAGTTCTATTTAGAAACTCAATTGGGAGTTGGAATTTATGTTGGACTTGAAAAGAATATTGAGAAGAAGAAAATGAAGTTTTTGAAGTAAAGGATCCGAAAGTAGGTGTCGGGTGCCATTGTCACAGGGAAGATTGTTGCTTGACGTCGTCCAGGGTGGCCAAGATTGTTTTGCCTTGCACGATTTTTTGTTTTCCACTCCGTTTTGGATTTTGTTTCTTGCACTCTATTTCAACTACAACTATTATTTTTTCCATATATATAGTTGACTATTTATTATGATTTAGTAAGTAGTTAGACAATGTTGTAAACACAAATCTTTGTATTCTTTCTCCATATTATAATATATTCTCAATTCTCTGTAAATTATTTTGTTATTGTGTTCAATTATTCATATTGTGGCCATAGTCTCTTATTTTTTCCAACAAATTAGTATTGGATTAATTTGATATTATCCCTGCTTTTCACAACAGTAGTTAATCGATATTTGTCAGCCATAAGATACTACTTAAAAATTTCTCTAATTTCCAGTAGAAAATCTTGCACCTGTCAATAAAATTTCTGATTTATGTTTAAGAAAAAATAAATCCCACATTAGTTCTTAGAGCAATGAATTTAATGGAGCAAATGAAAAAAGATTCTTGTAGCAATACCATGTCAATTGCTTTTGGAAGAAATACCTTATTTTTCTCTTAAATCATTTTTTTTTATTACGCGGCACGGAACAATGAATTCAATCGAAAACCTTAATAACACAATCTGGAATTCACCAGAGAATGAAAGATAAAATCAAGAAGTTTTATTAATTCGAAATAAGCTAAATGGCAAAAATAGCACTAAAAATTTAAAAAACAGTTTTTGAGTTCTAAACGAATTCGGATGATCCGTCTCGTCGTTCCCTTTTCGAAAACGTAATATGGACCCAAATTTGAGCTCAAATGCAAAATCCACAATTTACCATTTTTCTCTTTTCGGTCCAACTGTTCCTCAATCAATTCGGCTATCTGTTCTATATCACTTTATCTGTCTTAGGTGTGAAGCTTTCTCCACATACACTAGAACGTAAGACCTTATTCATGCCAGCAATATTTTTTTCCTTGTACAAGAACAAATTTGTTTCCCTAGCTGTTACCAATTTTTTGAAGTTGAGGGTTGTCAGTTGTGGTTACATGCTTGCATCTAGCAACGTAAATTTGGAACCCAGGAAATTTTTTTTGTATTGATTCAAATATCTATATGTGAAGAATTCTCCTCCCGATTTTCGCATATCAGCTATCTTCTTACATAGGAGAGAAATCAAGATTCATTGCTTCAAATATGATCTAGATTTTAAATAGAGTTGTAGGATTATACATGTATACAGATCTGCCTCCGTATTTTTAAATATCATCTATGTTGTTACATTGGAGAAAAAAGTCGAAACAAGTAGAACCTTCTGTGCCTTTGAACATCACCA